ACTCTACGCCGTTTACTAATATTTCTCCACTTGACTACATGCGGAACTTTACCAGAAACTCTAATATTGCTTTTCTATTCCATCTGTTGAGGTCAATGCACTAGCTGAAATTTTTGTAAGTAAACCTCAGCACACCGTTTTAAAATAGATCACGGAGCAACCACTTTTTCACAGAGTGTATGTGGGGGACCTCCCTGCCATTTACAAATTTAACATGACGGCGGTAAACTCTCCAAGCTTTCACCGCAATCCGAAAATAGTGTCCAGCACCTGGATGATACAGTGACGAGGAGATTAGACAGATTACTTAAGAGCAGTGTATACCCGAATCCATGTGGTCAGGCCAGCGCAATAATTTCCACAACTCCGTAGACATAGAGTGTAATAAAAACTTGGTAAGACGTCTAGCCTGGAGAGCTTGTACAGTCTGTATCCTTGATAGGTTTGATGCTAAACTACAGGTTATTCGTGAATCCCTGATGCAACACGGATATCTAGAACAGTTTATAAATAGGCAACTCAGAAGGAAGGCCGAATACAAGCCTCGAATAATACCATCAGCCGAGAGCCACCTAAATCCGTCTTTCCTTCTGAAGCAACATGGTTCCCAAAACACTGACCAGCCATCTGGCCACTTTCTTGAAGCGGGCGGCCAAATTGAATGTACATCTCGTAGATGGCCCATTATTCAACATCATCCTCAATGATAGATCGCCAGTATGTGGTTCACCAATGGTGGTCCATTCATTTACTTGACAATGTTTAGCAAATTACGCGAGTCGCATTTCCCGGCACTCATTCGGGAAAATTTGTGAGCACAAACTGTGGTGCGTGAGGCTGGACTGGCCAATTTTGCGACTAGTGTGACTGTCGCGAAATCAATACCAGCCACCTGATCGATCCGGTGGGGTCATTCAGTAATTCATCGGGTACCAATAAGTCGTTCTAAGACCAAACAACAGCAGATATTGGAAATAGTCAAGATGACTACTATTTGGTTAATTTATCCCATTCTGTCATCGAAAAAGACATGCGAAGGCCCTAAGACTGCCTCGGCCAACAGGGCACAGTTTTCAGCAAACAGATTAGACCTATCACACACCTCTCGGCATCGCTATGACGCTTTGCCATATAGCTGTATTTTCCAGAAGAGTGGTTATTAAAATCATATGTTTGAAAACCTTTATTTTTTGGTTGAAAGTGAGAATATTTACGTCCAGGATCACAAAGTTTGGTGGGGACACGCACAAACTTCTACAGAGAATTCTAATTTTTCATCTCTAAACGAAATTATTTGAGTCATCTTCATAAAGAGAACTCCTCACAAGGTTGCTGAAAACTCTTCGGCAGCCCACGACCGGTTTCGCCCTTCTTGGGACTCATCAGGTAGGCGCAGTCCCCAAGTTTCCGTCAACCGTATGTTCTACTTGAACCCCAATCGGGCTGTTTTCGAGAAATACACTCATTCACAAGTCAATTTGGTTTTCAAGACAGACTCAACCGAAACTCTCGTTTATAATATCATAAACGAGAGATTCAGTTGAGTCTCTCGTGAAAACCAAATTATTTGAGTCATATTGTCCGCGCACAACGTGACTGTCATTAGTGTAGGAACCCAAGTGGAAAACCATGATAGTCAACTGAAATTGCCACGTTCACCGTAACCTAAAATCGATTACCAAGTTTTTGCTTCCCCATCCGGTGACCCGCCGGATTTTTAATTTTGTAGACTTAAAATTATAAAAAGTTTCCTGAGGCTCGTTCAGAAGAGTTGAACTTGAATAAAGACAGTTTCAAAAAAGGAACGACATGGCATGATGGCGAAATGATCCTTATTGCAGGATGCAGGTTATCTTGATGACATATGTTTTAAAGAAGAGAGGAACATGCTGAAACAAGCCGAAAGAAAGTTTCATTGCACTCATCGAAACCTCCTGAAAACTTCAGAGTTTTGTTGCTCAATTACAGTTCTTTTATTCAGTATGTCAATGAAGGCCACGGTATCAGCTCTGAGCCGCGCACAAGGTGTTTCTCGTATCACTTGAGGCATTTATGGGCTGAAGGTCTAATATGTATTGCAGTTGTTGATCAACCTTATTCAAAACGATATGCAACGCCAAAGTTCCTGGACGTCATAGAGCATATAGTGTATCGCACTATCATCATGCCGTAGGAGTTCACAGAATAAAAGCAGACAAATTTACAGACGTAAAACCGGCTTAGTTGAATGGTGGCGCTTCGTAGACCGCAAAACTGCGTGTAAGCATTCAGAAGTCTATTAATTTTCATGCGATATTGTAACACTGTGCATTTTGTGCCAACTTAGAGTAGTTGGCTAAGATTAATACATAACGTGTGCTACTTATTATTGAGAATGAAAGACTGCCAGCTTTCCGTTTGCACCTCTTACTTGTGTCTCACTACGTCCGAGAATATTGCGGAATCGACTACGAGGATTACCAAAAAGGACAGGTATCGCTGTGTCAGGGCTGGTAGCGTCTAGCCAGCATAGCACGAGTATCTTTTGGGTGACAAGCTATTCCGTGGAAGACCCCGTAGGAAGTCGGACTGCTGGCAGAAACGCTTCAGTAAAACGGCTCTCGTGACCAATTATTCAAAATCTACCTCATCCAGAGTGACACATCAAAGACACAAACCATGACACTTTCTACACATGAATATTATTGTAATATTTTTTAACGAATTATATATGTACATATCTATCTGCACCAAACGTACAACGCGGTGCAGCCGTGTGAGGGAGCTCAAATAATGGCCATTCCATTAGCTGCAGCTTTATTTACGGTGATCAGTTGGGAAGATCGGCAAAACCGGGCTCTGAACATAGTAGAACTTTCCCAGAGGTCTTCGCGCTCCGTCATTTGACCATATTTCAGCCTCGATCGAATCCGAGATTTAGGCCACTAATAAAACATTATCAATCATCGGTCAGTCAGCATCAGATTTATTGGCATAAGACAGTGATGGACCACACACACAGTTCTCCATCACTTCGGGGAGCGGATGGATACACACATCAGTCACCTGAAGCAATGGTGACCAGTTATTTAAAAGTGTACGGTGAGTCCTGGGAGACCTAAGACCTTGAGTTCGCTGACCAATTATGTCACCATTGGCTCAGACAGGCATTGTAACTCGACCCACATTAAACCATTTGACATATTTAATGGACTCATCTAACAACATTGTTATTAGTACTGCCTACTGAAGCTATTCACCAAGTCACGATACTTTAAAACCTTCAAGGGTATTTTACCATCAGTTATGACACTGGTAGAACTTCCGAAGCGAACCAAAACAGTTCATCCTACTACATTTAAAGTATATTCTTTGGATAAAAGTTGAAAATGTAAGCATGCTCTTGGATGGCGGCGAAAAGTGTCACAAAGTTATGAATTTTCCTTGCAAAACATGAAAGTGAGACGATATGCCCGTCTTAAGGTTTACTCTTAAGTAATTACTCGATCAACTCTTAGGCGAGAACCGATGGCGCGAACTGAATTTGACGTTTGAGCTGACAGATCATTCGTTAGAACTAAATGAGCAAACGGAATGTGTATCGCTGCCACAACAAACGTAGGCGTCCACTAAAACACCTGATTGCTCTTCAGTCATATATTTTACAAATATCCAACCTGATATACAGTGATCCCAAACAAATGAACAGCCCCGTAACTCGCGATATTCTCCCTAGAAGAAGCGACTCCACTGAACAAAAAAAATAAACATTGGAAACCCCCCTCCAAAAAAAACGTAAAAAAAAATAACATTGGAAACCCCCCTCCAAAAAAAACGTAATGGAAATATCAAATAGGAGGGATATATCTACCAACAGCAAATGAGTTTTGGCAGCTGAGCCCTATAAAAGATTGTTGAGCAAGTAAAATATGCGTGGCTTTGACAAGTCGTTTTACCCGGTTGCCTAGTTCCGGTAACTAGTTCGTAGTGCAATCAAAAGGGCCAACTGGGTCTCGAAAGTAACTCCTGGTTTGTAATGCTATGTCACGCTAGGTTCAATAGGGCAGATACTCAAGACATATATCATCCATTGGTATTATAATATCGACATCGGCCTATATCCTCGAGGGAACGGAAGACAACTTTACGAGAAAATTCAGTATAGAGTCCTTTGGTGTTATGTACATGTCCTTTAAGTTATGTGTCGTTAACTGCGGCATTCTGTTGTCTAGCTGACTAGGGGATAACTACCTGAAGAACGCTATCTAACTGGGGCTTAAAAAAAGTTGGAATTTTGGAGGAAAATATTGTAACACAGATTCGGTGCCTGCATCGACACATTCCTGGGTCACCTTGTATATGACAAAGGTATACTTCACGATTCCCATATACTTAACATCCGTCGGCATCTGTATTGCTGATGCTTCTCAAAAAAGCGTGGATATGTACACAACATGTTTTGGCTTTTCAGTGCAAGTAAACCTAAGCTGTGTGATGAAATCCAAAACTGGAACTCGGTAAATAGAAAACGCCACCCCAAGATAACTTCCCTTTACAAAACAATCGATAGAAAGTTTTTTACACTGCCACATGATCGAGACACTGACATCCACAAAGCTACTTTTGTGAAAGCAACAAAAGGGATAACAAGAGTTTCAGCTGAGTTTACAGTTTGTTAGTTGGGAACCGTGCATATGGATGAGGTTCCAAATAGGTAATTTCATTCATTATTTTCTGGTTTTATGGATAAAAAGCAATAGAGACAAGAAGACAAATCGATATAATTTGGCCTCAAACGCGGGCACCGCAAATTTTTCATCGCAACAGTTGCGGTTTCCATCCAATTTTGTTTATTGCCCGGAAACGTCCTGGTAACCTACAAAGGCTGAACTGATTGGTGGGAGTGCTGCTTTGCTAACTTGATGTGATTTCTTGGCAAAAATGGTAGAGCCGTTTTACGAAACTGATCAAGTTGAGTTTCAGTAATATTCCAACACAAAAACGCACAGCCCAATATTTACTTGAGACTCACCGATTATATATTGCAAAATCAAGTTCCACCCAGTTATGAATGCCATCAGTTCTCCAACGGTAACATAACTATAAATGTAGGCTGATCCGGTTTTTGGAACGCGTGCACCAAATTCCGCATAGCAAAGTCCTATGAGGATGAAAATTGCGGAAAAAATTAGATAATACTGTAAGGTTCCACAAAAAAGGTCAGAATTGTATTTGACAAATGGATCAGTCATCAAAATACAGTGATCAAAGTTTTTAAGCTATTTGAACGAAATTGGTAGAACTGGCCTTCGACTTATCATGATGGTCAAATTCCGTACAAGAAGGGTAAGTTGCCTGACTATGGGGATGTTCGATTCCAGCGGGCATAAATATTTTGATCTCATAAGCCACCGTATTTTTCAGTTATCTTAAAAAGTCACACACCGTTGATATCTCGGTTCCAAAAAAGATTTCACCGGGAGAACGGCCGAAGACCAACAACTAGGCTTGAATTATTGGCAAAATTTGCTAGAGGGTCACATCCAATATCCACAATGATGCGGCGTTTCCGGGGAAAGAAACGCACTTCACATGTTTTGCGTTTCAAGCGTAATAGCCTTAAAACCCTTTTCAGACAAATGTAAATAGAAAGTTGTGTAGTATTATGGGGATCTGGTTTATTCACAGCGAGTCGTAGATGCAAAAAGGAAACACATTCCGCTTTGAATGAGTTCATTGTTTCAATCATTAACTAAATTTTCATCCATTTGATAAAACTCAAACGGTGTTTCGGCCTCCTGGAGTAAGTAGAAGGAAACGGATTTTCCATTAATCACATTCTGCACTACGCAACTCCTGCTGGACCTATACACTGACTCTGAAACTGGGGACATCATTTGTTCGACCATAAACAGTTCGGCCTGTGCTTGCATTTAGGTTATTCCGGTGTGTAAGACTGCTTCGTCAAAGAACTTTGACTTTACAGTAATATCTGTCACACAGGAAATATATGCCGTGAGTTTATTTGGATTTCCCACTACAAACTTCCTGTTCCAGATTTCACAGGACATTTTCACAACAAAATATGCAAGCCGCAACACACTGCCTAGCAAGCACTGTTTCGATGCTTTGAGGCTGGGTTCAATGTTCCGCAATTACATTTCCTCTCTAATACTGATAAGCCAAAGCTCAGTTATTTGACTATGGATCCACTGTACTCTTTTACGCCGTGAATTGACCAATTTCTGTAAACTGGATGGACATAAACACCAAACTGAGTGTTTAGTCGAAGTACAAAGATAATGCGATATTAAATTTGGATGTTTTGATGGAAGGAATGAACGCTGTATGTTGTGACAACTTACCTTGCTATCAAAACGTTTCCTAATTTTGGCGAGGAACTTGAGGATTCCGATGTTTGAAACCATAATGGACTAGTCTTATGAAGACTTGTAAGGCTTTTAAAGATGCACTGGAAGCGAAATTAAACGTTGTTGTTGTCACTTGTTGTTCTATCCAGACACGTTCGAATATCATGCGTTTGAACCCAGGTCCACGTTTTTTTCAAAAAGAGTGCGTATGGTAAAGACAGAATTGGCACAATTACACCAATCGTTAGTGCCATGTGACGTTAACTGACATCAAACTGAGGCCTCGGTTGGCCAAAATAAGTACTTGCCTAAAGCTTCGATAAGGCAGGATGGTATAGCTCATTCATTCATTCATTCATTCACTCAGCCTCTCGCCTCATTTCCGAAGTTGTTCTTGGACAGTGACTTAACAACAGTCAACTCTTCGTGGTGTCTAAAAAACTCCTCTGTTCTCCTAGCTTACTGTGGTCTGATAGGGGGTTCAGCAAAATATTTTCGATTGTCTTTGAGAGCTGGACATGCTTTTGTCCCTTCAAAAGGATTTTTCCATGTGGTTGGCTCTACGGCTATACCAAAAACAAAATAAAGTAGATTTCCCTTTCACCGAAAACTATTATGTGAGCAGCATAGTGGTGTTCATTAACAGCTATCTAGGTCAGATTATTTTGTATGTGTATGCTGTTCTAGTTATCCTGTATACATGAACGTATCTGCAGCTAGTGATTTTTTCCAACCGACATATATGGCTACGTCACGTGATCACTGACGATTCACCGACACCCCATCAATTCGTGCCGTATAGCAGAAACAAAATCATTTAGCCTCATGAACTAATTGGAACATCGTCTCCAACGATTGAACTGAAGCCCTTTATTCTCCTCATCCTCAGCGCGGCAGTTGGAACCACTGTACTTCGGTCTGAAGTTTGTGGTTTAAAAACTAAATCAAGTTGACACATCGTAGATTTGACCAAAGTCTCGAGGAAATGGTCATTACATCAGAAGAAAAGTGCAGGAACAACACAAGAAACGTTGTCTTTGATCATCTATTGGAAAACTAGCGCATGTTCTACTGAAATATATAACTTTACTTGCGTTTTTATTTCCTCCCATGTTTCAACTGTTTTGGTGAGCTTGTGGGCAAAAGGACGAACCGGATCTTACAGTGCGGACTTGGAAGGTTAAATTATGAATATCTGTTGTCTTTTACCCGCAATTCAATTCAGGGTTGCGGAGTGTGCTTTTGGAGAACAAGCCAAAACTAAACTATCAGTGCTGAAACACAGCTAACATCTTCATCACGCAAGATGAGTAGGGAGCTGTTTCCAGAACGCTAATTCCCCTGTATTACAAGATAACAATAAGAAATCCGCGGAAATCTTCAACCGGGTAGAAACGCTTCCTCAAAATCATGTGAATACTGCTGTGGTTTTAGTTTCGTCAGAAAATTTACTCATGCGAAAGTCCCCCGTGTCATGTTTTATTAGAGAAAGGAAAAGGTTTAGCTCCTGTGTCGGATATGGTAGTACCAACACCCATTTTTATGGGGCAGTGAATTCCATTAATTCACAGCCAACAACTCTGACCTTTAATTCGGTCAGTTGGAATTTAATTATATATGAAAAACTATCAGTAAATTTATTTCGACAAGGAAGGGTAATCTATTAGTATTACGATTGTTTAACCCATCAGCCATCTTTCAGCTCATTTTTCATGCGTAGGCAGTAGAAAGTTTAGACTACAACTCAATTAATGCAAGTGAAACTTTACTGAAACTGCTATGGCTCCTCTGTTCTGTTATTACCTGCGATTCCAACTCCACATGTGGGTTCGTTTGTTGTGCTAGCCATTCAGCGACAAATCTGTTGAGCACTCTGCTCTATGTTACTCCCAAACGTCCGTCTGATCGTTTCATGTGTAATAAAAACTTGAAGTTGCGTAACGCTGGTGCTGAGTAAACTTTTAGGTGGAGTTAGTTTTACTCCTGGCGAGGTTCTTGTTCAGAGACTTATAATTTCAAATGGCTTTTTTTCCTCGACACTGCTTAAGCCAGACGTTGTCTACATAATTTTCGAACACTGTATGAACGGTATTAAAAATGATGGTGAAAACCTGTCAAATTAGAGCAGTTTTGTTGTTCACACAAAGTCACCGTCACATCATTTTGAAAAACTCCTCTCAATTAGTTCTGGTGATTTTGTTTGTTTATTTTTTTAACTCAGCTAGACTCATGACTGAATCATAATTTTGCATCGCACTGTTAAAGGGTCAAAGTTTGAGGTATTTAGTTGCAATACGGTTCATAAAGGATGGCTGGAAATACCAAATAAAATAATTCAGTTAGCCCTAAAATATCGCTTGGCTTCAACTTTGCATTAGATTTCAGCCAAACTTTCATTGAGGAGTTGATTAAATGTTTGAACCTTTGTTCCAGTTTATAGTGACAGGTTCTGGTTTACGTCTCTCTTGAAACAAAGTTGCCTTCAGATTCAGTTTAATGGACGCCATCTGGATGTTGGAGCTCAGAAAACACCAAAAGATAGGCTTTAAGGTTATTCAGGATCAAAAGCATGCCAGTTGCGAAACACATGAAAAATATTTCGTACCTCACTGGTCCTAATTTCCACTTGTGCTTTTAGAATGTTTATTATCACAAACTCTGCCAATTAACCGGGACGGGTTTGCTAAAATAATTTACAAATCCACCAAAACAAGCAAGTTGGTTGTCCGTCAGAACCAAAATTCTAGTACGAACCGGCGGTTTTCAGTAGCCTATTCAAAAGAAAAGTTGTTGATAGCTTTTGACAAAATATTTTTTCACAAACTTGGTGACTATTCTATCGCTCCGTGGACACCACGGTTCAGTCTGAATTGCTGCCAGTTATTAAGGCGGCTTATTACCCAATAGTGGCAGAAGTTACAGGCGGGCGCCGCCAACACCTATAGATTTGTTTTCCCTGCCACGGATATTCATGACTTTGTCAAAGTCAGAATCGTGGTAAATAACAGAGGCGTAAAAATCTTGCGTGATCCTTTCCATTGATACTTTCTTCATCCCCTTTGAGGGAAAGTTCCAACGCGGATAGCTTGGGTGATTTAACAACCGGAGCAAAATTTGCGCCACAGTGGTTGCCAAAACGCACTGTGCGGCAACGAATTTATTCATTTTCTTAGTGTGGCTACCAACATTTTCTTAAAAGCGTAAGTGATAAACAATAACCCCCTTTTGTTCCATTATACCGAGTATGATTATCCTATGAAATCGCTCGTAAGAACATTCAGACATGCTGCTGAGGCAAAAGTTCATGCATCTCTTGTAACGAATAATCAACAACTTTCTACTGTAGGACGAAAATCTGGAATGCATCACAGATGTTGGTAACCCTTTCTAATCAATTGTGTCCAGGTATTGCGTACACAACCTAGCAAGATTGAGTCCCACAGAGAGAAAGATTTATTGGTACTAACGTGTATGGTGCTGTAAAACATAGAAACACGTGCGTTCCAGCTGATAGGTTCTAAGAGCTGCCAGAAACTTTGGCGTCACATAAGTTAAGGTCGTTTTACCGTATTAAAATTTTCTGTTCAGAAAAAGTTAATTAAAATGAATAGCGTCAATTCAAGAGAATTCAACTCGGATGCCGATAGTTTCTGTTAGAATTGTGCAGGTCAGCGACCAGTGATTAGAGAAGTAGCAATTCGAAAAAAGTAGAGATCAAATTCGCATTATTCGGAAATCGTGTTCCCCCATTTTAGAGCAAGATCCAAATTCACTTTGACCGAAGTTAGTCACCAGCGGCTCCACTTACATGCGTGCCCATTGAAGCGCCACAGACGCGGTTTCTTAGCCATATTCCAATGTATGTTGCTTAATTTATTTTTTTTAATCAACAGTTGATGTCTTCTTGCATGTCTGACGACCATTCAACGTATTCTATCCTTGCACTCATCAGACTTTGCACTATGGCTCGCACTCTGGTCCAAAACCATCGTGTTTGAGGCGAGATGGCCGTGCCATGGCAGTATTGTCATATTGATCAGGATGCTTGTTAAGCAAAAAATCAAATGCATGACCTAAAAATGTCTATTAAACACGTTACAAGATGAACCCGATATTTTTCACAAAATGACGCAGAGAATATCGATAACACGAAAAGGACAGATATTGTAGCGATCGCTGGATTGTGAGACGAAGGTATCTGGGTGCTTTTGTCACTGAAACGCCCGTGAATTTCTGCTACTCATAAATGCTCGTTCACGCTACTTATCACGTCGTCACGTTACCCTTTCCTCACCTCCGCCCTGTGGCGCCACTGCTGATTGAAGATTCTTCACCGACTCACATATTTCACAACGCCCACAGCAACATTTCAGGTTTTTGACCCGTGTACGAATGCTTGATAAGGAGGAGGAGTCGGACTGAATCATCCTTGTTTTAAGTTGGTAGCGTGACCCATTTGTCAAGCTTTGGATTGCTAAGGTTTCGAGGGTGAAAAAGATGCCAGCTCAAATTGTTCAAATTTAGAAGCCACCACTGTTTTTCCCAGCGAGTCATGAGTTAGGTATATTTTCTAATCTACCGCAGTGATAAGTACAACCATCTTTCTGGTTCAGTATTTCAGTTTACCTGTTTGTTCGTTCTCGGCATTGGGGGTGGTGAGAGTGACCAGATGCCCCTCATGCTTCAGCAAATCCAAATGAGTGTCAACTATTTGCCTGTTGTATCCTTGAATATATATGGTGGAAGTACGCTCACACGTCGATAGCTATTTTGGAAAGTTGGTAGGCATGCCGCAGACCATCCGTACACTGTAACTCCATATCTTAACTCTAGCTTTTTGTTTGCATATTGTGTGTAAGCAAAAACTAGGAATCTTCCGATATCGCTTCGGTTAAACGACCTTCAAAGAAAATAATTAGTCGAACCTGTGACGTCCATGTGTGAGGACTCGTGGACCGACGTCGCTGCTGCCAATTAGTCACTGCTTACCGGCTAGAATTCCGGTGCCTTAACTTTTTAGTTGATGCGGTCTCAGGTGCTCACCTTCAGTGTGGGAAAAGTCGACGGCTGTATGAATGCTCACTTTAGAAGGCTGACTGACTTGGTAATCCGTGTGTAACGTCCTTCCAAGAATACATATTGCCTTAATCCCATTTGTGCTGGATGGCGCTATATAAGAGTGGGCTTTGAGTTTTCTCCTCGTGTTATTGGCCAGATTTTGCACCATTAGCATCATTGGAATTTTCACAATTTTTACTGCCCAAAATATTTGACTGTTGTGGCTTTCTCCAGACTGCTGATTTTTGAGCAACAAGAAGTGCTTTTATCTTGCAGCGGAAAATGCAAACTGTCAATTACTTATATAAGCTAGCCACAGTTTCTAAAATCAGCAGTAAGGTGTCCTCTGCCTTGATGGTTTCGGTTCCCAAGAATTTTGTTGTTGATTTTGAGTGTGATTATGGCTTGTCTGAGTTCCGACTCGCGATGCATTTTGACGTGAACTTTTTCTCCTTAAAATTCAAACAATTAAGTGGCAGATTAAAGTTCATAGACGATGTACCTTCGCTGGAAACGAGAACTGATTCTCGCTAATGTGATTAGTTAGGAAGAGGTCACCCAAGTCAAGCAACCTGTCTCCCCCATTAAAAAGCGGTGTACAAGTAGTGACAAATTAACACCCTTGGCGTAAATTTCAGGATCATAAAGACTTACCGGATAAAATAGAAGACAGCGCCGCGATCAAAAATGACACTATAACCGAGGGACCTGCATCATGGCGAGCAACGCCACCCACAACCACGTATACACCGGCTCCAAGAGTGGAACCAATGCCTACAATGATTATCCGTTTGATGTCTGGTTAAATTTAGAAGTTCTTACCCAACGCAGTAAGGTCCACAACCGATAAACACCGCAGTAGCTGCGTTTTAGATACATCGCTTGTGGTTAATGATTTTTTTCTTGAAAGACTGTTGAAAAACCGCTTTAGCATATTGGATGGATGGTACAGTGCTGCGGCCGATCACTCGTTGCAATAGACTTGAGGATTAGATGCTTGCAGTTCAGTGAGCTTTATCGAAGGAACGTTATTTTCCAATTTCAGCTATTTCAGGAGCAGGAGATCACGATGGCCTACGAGTTGAGTTTGTTCAGCTCGTTGAGCACAAAGGCTACAAATAAAATAGAAACCAGGTAATTACCATATAGAAGACTCAGGTGACCACCCTCGTCCTCGAGATCACATAGCCCATGTGTAGTTTTGGATTTCCGCCTTAAGAATAACCTCAAAATTGGTCGGTTTAATCCAGAATGTAACTGAATCAACTCGCGCAAGGAAAAAAGTCTCCCCTGAGGGTTTGAGCCGTTTGATTGTTTTACCTGTCAGTTCTAACTTTTTCTATATATGTCTACTGCGCCAAGCGCAAGGTGCAACTCCGCACCAGTTTTCTATGTTCACGAGAGCTTCATGTCAATAAGGTTTTTGCAATAGGGCCAGTAAACACAGGCATTTCTTGACCATCTACTTCGTTCCTCAATGCGGTCAGGTTGCGCTGGAGAATATGGAAGACCGACGCATGCGCTTTTTTGGGACTGGGCCTTCATAATAAAAGGTTTACGTGAGCAACAGGTTTTAGGCACACTTTATTTTTCGTTTCCTTCGAATAAATTATGCTTCATTTCATCACTGTCTATCTCGAAATATTTTGACTCTTTTTTAGCTCTTCGTTGTTTCAAGCCCTAGTAGAAGTGGTTGACACATGCTGACGAGCGTTTCTACCTGGTGTTTCGTCGGTCGCTTGACAAATGCAAACTTCCCCTCGCTTGGAAAAAGCGATTACCACGCCAGTCCACCAAACTGGTGACCGGCTGTCGCCCGGCAGCTACAGGCCTATTAGCCTCACTAGTGTATCGTGCAAGGTGATGGAATGTATTCTGAAGTGGGCCATTCTAGATCATCTTACTACCACTAACTTGAAACCCCCAGTTCTACATGGATTTCTCTCAAACCGTTCTTGCGTGACGAACATGGTCATATTCGTGGACAGCTTAGGGACGAGGGACTTATATTGGATGTCACATTTTTAGATTTATCAAAAGCATTCAATCGTGTCCCACACGTCCAGCTACCCCACCGATCCAGTCTTACGGGACTCAAATGGAAACTCCACGCCGGATTAGGGAGTTTCTCTCAGCCAGATCATCCCGAGTGAAGGTAGGCTCGGCCTACGCTTCTGTGCTGCTGCTTCTCTTGGGTGTTCTTCAAGGCTCCGTTCTGAGGCCACCGCTGCTGCTGATATAAGTCAACGATCCACCAGATGTTCTTGCAAGTCCATGTCTGTTATTGAGTATGACTTGAAATTTTGGAGTTCAAATGCCAGCGCCTCCCAATGGATGTAGACGCTGCAAAGTAGTGGTCGTCGGACTGTTACCTTCCTCTGAGTGACGAAAAGTGCGTTCATGTCATTCGATCGACACTTGGCGAGCGCCTTTGCCATGTATCATGAGAGTGGACCAGAAAGCAATACGATGATCGATGCCGAAACAGATTTAGGTGTCGAGCTCTCTTTGACACGCCATTCTTAGTGCACCATGAGAAATCGGTTCAAGAAACATCGTCAGTTCTACGCATAATTCAGCGCCCCTTCTCCCGTATCACTCTCATGAACTCTCAAATGCTCCACAGGACGTACGTCAGACCGCCTCTTGATTATGGCAACCAAGTTGCCTAATCAAGAAGCAAGTAGGACGTAACCCTCACAGAGCAAGTTCAACGAGCTGCTACAAAATTTGTTGCCGTCATAAATCCGTCAGCTGTGAACCACGTCTCACGATGCTTGACCTCTGTCCCTAGGAGTATCGTCGCCCTCAAAAGGGCGTGTGCTCTGTCTGAAAAAGGTTTGACCAACAGGCTTTTTACGGCTGTCTAAGCTAGTACAAGGCAGAGACGTGGTGAGAATATTCTCATACACAGAGCGCGCATTTTGTTTTGGCAAATTTCTTCCTTTTCGCATAGTTGCTGCGTGAAATATCCCTTCTTCGTCGTTTGGCCAGGTTCCATTTTGAAACCAACTCAGAGCACTATCAGACATCATTTTTGTGAGTCTTCACGCTGGCAAGTTTACGGCAGCGTGTTGAAAAAGTGAAGAACAGTACTCCACCCTATTTCGCCTGCGTATTTGAGATGAACCACAGCCGTTGAACGACAAGAAGAGAACCGCCAGGGAAACTTTGGCGAAAGACTCAATGATGTGTATCAATCCGTAAATCCTTGAATCTGTGACCAGAATAGGTAAGTCGGTGTTAGGTTCAGCTGCGCCGGGCGTCGCGGTAAAGAATATCTTCTGTCAGCGGAGTGAAGCCAAAATCCAGACTACGGAGAGAAAATCAACACAAATGCACATGTTCACCTCAGGTAGTCAGTGCGCTCAACTTCCGTTTTATGCTCATTTTCTATGACTCCTGGGAGCGAACCCGGTTTTTCCTTTGTCACCTGCGGATTTCTATCAACTTTCAGTAAATACTCATCAGTTTCCAGTATATTTTCAATCATACCCAATGCGGAATATCCCTAGAAAATCTCCTTTCCTAATCCGCACTCCCCCAGCTCTTGGCTCAGTATATTGCGTCTGAGCGGCATCCTTAAACTTGTTGCCTGAAACCCCTTGCAACTAAGAGCACGGAATCTGACCAATCTAACCGGAGAATGTTTGGGAATTACGCTCCTGAGAGTAGACAAAATAACGGCTGCTTGGGCCCTGCCTCCGAGAAGGGCTCAGGCCTTCCCACCCCTATTTTACTACGCCGTCCTAACCTGCTCAGCATCTCCGATGCTTTGCACCCGTGACTACAATTACCCTACTCCAACCCAGTTCATATATTCCGCTCCCGCTCCAGCCCACCCCACCTAAGTACGTTGACATCATTCAGATTACTTATACGGAACAGCTATAGCAAGGAAGAACTTGCATCGGTCCACTCCCCAAGAACCACAAAGTCATTACTGAAAACAAGACAGGTTCAAGCCGATAACGTTGGTAAATTTAATCATTGGTTTGTTGTGGCCACAGAGGCCTGTGTGGTATCGCCGTCTTCTCGGGTTTTTCAGGGGATGTGATAGTTATCCAATTTCTCTAAGAATGATGCCCATACACTTGTTAATGCAGATGCTCAATTCAACCCGCTGCCATAGGATGCCTTTGATTTAGCCCAAAAGGTTCCATGTGGGCTGAACTCAATTACGTGACCAAACATTCTGGCATTTTGGTAATGATCCAAACATGGTCCGTCCACTACTCGTCACGCTCGGTATAGCCGCATGTAAAGTAATCGCTACATGAACTCGAATTCCCCTAAAAATTGCTTGGACCATGGCTTTGACACCCTCAGCCCTTTATATCACAGGAAGGCAATGTCCGTGATGACCAAAATGGCAGTAGTATAGTCAGCCCCTTGGCCTCATCCTCTGCCTTCCTTTTTTGAATAACAAGCTCTCCGCTTTTCCAGCTACGCAGGCATTTTATCGGTTGCCCGACAAAGAAATGCCCCCAAAGCCGAACCCGGATTTCGTAGGCCTCAAATGGTTACAGCAATTCCCTTTTCAACCCCATGATCCGAGCCTATCAAGCATTCCGTTGAAATAGCAGAGCAACCCTTACCGGTGCCACAAGAAATACACTCGGTACTCGGAGCCAGAAGCCCAACCATATAGACAGAAGCACAAGTGCTGTGTGAGGCTCACGGCTAACCTCGACGTGCAAGGAGCTGCCACTCTCGTCTTAGTTGGGTCACACCACCCCTAGTCCACTTCATCATCCGAACCTAACACACACGCTCTCCCCTCTTGTCAGCTAAAGCGATCGTATGCACAAAATGCCAATAATTTATCATTTCCTGATTACAAGCAGTCACAACCAGCACTTAATGGCTTTTTTGCTATGCATTATTCGTTTTCTAGAGTTGACAGCAGTGACTTGGCGACTGGTGATCCTGAATCTTACTTTCATTTTAGGTTGGCATAATAGACCTCAGTTAAGCTACAATTCTTATCAATTATTTGGGAAGCCGTTACTTGTCGGCTTCTTACTTGTCAACTGTCACCGCTAATATTGACATATCTTTCTGCACAACAAGGACCCTATGTCATGATGCTTTGGGAAGCCAACTGATCCAGCAGCTAGTCCACCTGCCAGCTACCTCGACGACAAAGTTCTCACCTTCCTAAAACTCTGGCCCAACTAGTGCTCGGTTTCTAGATCAGCAAAGTATTCACCTTCCTTTGGTCCATTTAGCTTGCTGTCATCCACTTTTAGATTTTTTTCTATTGACGCTGTTGTATCTTATGTCTCCCGACACTCGCCATACGCTACTGCTTTCATTCTATTTCTTTCCCGTTGGCCCTCTTCCCAAGCTTCAAACCTCGACTACAGTTGCCCAAACGCCTCGTAGAACCGTTATTCGTTCAAACTGGCTGGTCCCCGGTGCACACTGACGACAAAAGGAAAATTATCCGCAGGCCTACGTCGCATGACTGTGTCAACCTCCGTCTTACCCAGAACCGGCTGCCACGGAACTGCGTATCCTTTCTCCAATCGCGGCACCTTTGATGACCGTTACGGTGCTGTCCATAAACCGGTGCGTCAGTGTAATGATGGCATGGCACTGTCACACCCAGTGAGAGGGCACTCCCGCAACTATTTTTTTCGGGATTCCGACCGCAACCCCTCGCCCACTCAAGCATGCAGTCGCAACTACGAGTAGATTTTTCATCCGCCCCCGTATCTGGGATGAGCGCTTTCGTACCGGATGAATTTTCGCTCAATTTTGGCTAGCCTGGTTTTTCTGCTACAATTTCGGCTTGCCTCCTCCACAAGTTCGAATCCGTATACGGTGTTCGGGTCGGCCTATTTATTAGCACCATGTCATTTTCCAACCTATCCCCTAAACCTGACTTCCCTACAACAGTGCAACAACAACAGTGAGCCTGCTTAGTTT